AGAAGGGTCTAGGCCCGAAACGTCAGCTTTCCTGCTCCTCTGATGCTGCTTGGCCTGCTGTGTGCATCCAGCTCTACACCTTGTTATCTCTATTGAAGAAAGACTACGACAGGTTTAAATAACAGTAAATAAGTATGAAGTGTAAAGCTCTTCTCATTAGTTGACAGTACAAGACTAAGAGATAAAGAGACATGGAGCTTCTACTGTGTTAATTTCAGTTTCATGAGCCATCCATAATGGGAGTGCTTCAAAAAATCACATAATTTATACCCTATATAAGTTGTGAGATAAGATTAACTTTCTGTTGCTGTTTATTCTTAGGTCTCACTTAGTGTCCCTTGGACTCCAAACTGTCCAAATGGAAATTGCTTTGATTACGTATCAATGGCAAAGTCCTGTGACTTTCTATATGTGAAGGCCTATGACATGCAACTTGAAATGTGGGATGAGTGTTTTGCAAAAGCAAATGCTCCCTATCACCAAACATTATCAGGTATGAACAGTGTTGAATAATTGATTGATTTATTGTTGTCACATGTACCAAGACACAGTGAAAAGTGTTGTTTTGTGTGTGAGACAGGCAGATTATACCTTAGAAAGGGCATCAGGATAACAGAACAGAGTGCAGAATACAGTGTTACAGCTGCAGAGAAGGTGCAGAGAGAGAAAGATCAGAATTAACATGAACAAAAGTCTGATAACAGCGGGGAAGAAGCTGTTCCTGAATCTATTCATACATGTATTCAAACTTATTTCTGCATGATGGAAGAGGGCGGGAGGCATCGTTGATTATGTTGATTACTTTCAGCAGGCAACAGGAAGTACTCAGTTCTGATACAACGTGATAGTTCCGTTCTCATGTGATCTTGCATTGTTAGAAAATCGTGTAATAGTCGTGCCATTTAAACTAATTGGGCCAGAATTGCGTTATAGCCAATACCGGTAAGAAAAGTTTGCGTTTTACAAATAGAGGTCTAAATTATTCAATCACATTAAAGCCAATTCACTTTGAAGAAACACGCATTACATCAGAACCGACTGTATAGACGGTGTCAACGGATGGAAGGCTGGGTTGGCATGATGGACTGGGCTGCATTCACGACTGTCTGTGATTTCTTGCAGTCTTGGGAAAAACACTTACTATAGCATGCTGTGATGCATCCAGATAAGATGCTTTCTACTGTGCCGCTATAAAATTGATCAGAGTCCTTGTGGACATACCGAATTTCCTTAGCGTCCTGTGAAAGTAGAGATGTGTTTTTTTGACTATTGCATCGAAATAGTGAACCAGGACAGATGGCTGGTGATTGACACTCTTGATCATCTCCACCTCAGCACCATTGACAGAAATCACACAACACCAGGTTATAGTACCTGATGTTGTGTGATTTCTGACCTTGTCCAACTCAGTCCAACACCAGCACTTCCGCATCATCAGCACCATTGATACGGACAGGGGTGTGTGAAAAACACATCTGCTTCCTGAAGTCAATGACCAGCTCCTTCATTTTGCTGACGTTGATGGAGAGATTGTTGTCTTTACATCATGCTGCTATGCACTCAATCTCCTTCCTGATTTTTGTCTCATTGTTGTTTAAGCTCCAACGGTGATGTCATCAGAAAACTTGTAAATGGAGTTGAGGCAGAATTCAGCCATGCAGTTGTGAGTGTACAAGAAGTATAGTAGAGGACTGAGTACACAGCATTGCGGGGTACCAGTGTTGAGGCTTAAGGTGGAGTAGGTGTTGTCGCCTATTCTTACTGAACTATGCTATTCTGGTGAATGGTGTGCCTGTTCCAAAAATCGATGCTAACCTAAGACCATTATATTTTTTTTCCCCATTTAGGTCTGTCTAATTATATCAAGCTGGGTGTTGATCCCAAAAAGCTCATACTTGGACTCCCATGGTATGGTTATGACTATCCTTGTGAGCATTTCTATGAGGTAAGGAGAAATGGTTTGTTTTCATTAGAACGTAGGGTAGTACAATATAGGAACAGGCCCTTTGGCAACCATGTTTGTACCAACCATGTTTGTACCAACCATGATGCCATTCCAAACTAATCCCATCTGCCTGCATAGGGTCTGTATCCTTCTATTTTCTGGCTGTTCGTGTAGCTGTTTAAATGCTTCTTACATTTTGCCATCGTCTTTGCTTCTAACAACTTCCCTGGAAGCACATTCCAGGCACCTACCATCCTCTGTGTAAAAAACTTGCCTCACACATCTCCTTTAAACTTTCCCCCCTCACCTAAACCTGTACTCTCTCTTATTTGACATTTCCACCTTGGGAAAGTTACTCTGACGATCAATCCTATCCATGCCTCTGATCAGTTTAAATGGAGTCTTAGAGCTGTACTGCACAGAAACAGATCCTTTGGTCCAACTCATCCATGCTGAGCAAATGTCCTAAATTAATCTAGTCCCATTTGCCAGAAGTTGGCCCATATCCCTCTAAAACTTTTCTACACAGTTACTCGTACAGATGTCTTATAAATGTTGTAATTGTACCCACTTCCGCCACCTCATCTGGCAGCTCGTGTCATATACACACAACCCTCAGTGTGAAAAAGTTGCCCCTCAGGTCCCTTTTAAATCTTGCCCCTCTCACCTTAAACCTATGTCCTCTAGTTTTGGATTCCCTTATCCTGGGTAAAAGACCTTGGCTATGCACCCTTTACATGCCCCTCATGATTTTGTAAACTCCTATAAGGTCACCCCTCAGCCTCTGACCCTCCAGAGAAAATAGCCCCAGCCTATGCAGCCTCTATTTATTGCTTAAACCTTCCAAACCTGGCAACATCCTTGTAAATCTTTTTTGCACCCTTTCAAGTTTAACAACATGTTTCCTACAGCAGGGAGACCAAAATTGAACACAGTCTTTCAAAAGTGGCCCAACCAATGTCCTGTACATGTCCGTAACATGACATCCCAATTCTTATATTCAGTGCACTGACCAATAAAGGCAAGTGTACCAAACACCTTCTTTACTCCCCTGCCTACCTGTGAATCCACTTTCAAGGATCTATGAACCTGCACCCGGAGATCTTTGTTCGACAGCACTCTCTAGAGCCCTACCATTAAGTGTCTAAGTCCTGCCCTGATTTGACTTACCAAAATGCAACACCTCACATTTATCTAAATTACATTCCGTCTGCCACTCCTCGGCTCATTGGCCCATATGATCAAGATCCCATTATACTCTGAGATAACCTTCTTCACTGTCCACTACATTATCATCTGCAAAAGTATTAACCATTCCTCCTATATTCATATACAAATCATTTATATAAATGACAAAAAACGGTGAACCCAGCATTGATCCTCGTGGCACACCACTGGTCACACAGTTCCGGTCTGAAAACAACCCTCCACCACCACCTTCTGTCATCTCCCTTCAAGCCAATTTTGTGTCCAAATGGCTAGCTCTCCCTGGATCCTATGTGATCTAACCTTGCTAACCAGTCTACCATGCGGAACCCTGTCGAACGCCTTGCTGAATTCCATATAGACAATGTCCACCTGTCTGCCTTCATCAATCTTCTTTGTTACTTCTTCAAAAAACTCAATCAAGTTAGTGAGACATGATTTCCCATGCACAAAACCATGTTGACCATCCCTAATCAGTCCTTGCTTTTCTAAAGGCATGTAAAGGCTGTCCCTCAGAATCCCCTCTGACAACTTACCCACCACTGACATACAGCTCACTGATCTATAGTTCTATGGCTTTTACTTAGCACCTTTTTTAAATAGTGGCTGCACATTAGCCACCTTCCAGTCTTCCAGCACCTCACTCCTGGCCATTGATGATACAGTTATCTCAGCAAAGGGACCAGCAATCACTACCTTAGCTTCCCACAAAGTTCTGGGATACATCTGATCAGGTCCTGCGGATTTATCCACCTTTATGCATTTTAAGACATCCAGCACCTCCTCCTCTGAAATATGGATACTTTTTCAAGATATCATTATTTATTACTCCATGTTGTCTAGCTTCCATATCCTTCTTCACAGTAAGTACTGATGCAAAATATTCATTTAGTATGTTACCCATCTCCTGTGGTTCCACACATAGATAGCCTTGTTGATTTTTAATGGGCCCTATTCTCTCCTTAGTCATTCTTTTGCCCTTAATGTATTTGTAGAATCCCTTCGGATTCTCCTGAACCCTAATTGACAAAGCCATCTCACGTCCCTTTTTTACCCTCCTGATTTCCCTCTTAAGTATACTCTTAGTGCCGTTATACTCCTCAAGGAATTCACTCAATCCCAATTGGCTAAACCTTTTTCTTGACCTGACCCTCAACTTCTCTAGCCATCCAGCATTCACTGCACCTCTTCAGCCTTGCCCTTCACAGTAACAGGAAAATACTGCCTCTGGACTCTCAATATCTCAATTTTGAAGGCCTCCCACTTTCCAACTGCCCTTTACCTACAAATAGCCTCTCCCAATCAGTTTTTGAAAGTTCTTTCTAATACCATTAAAATTGGCCTTACTTCAATTTAGAACATTGACTTTTAGGTCAGGTCTATCCTTTTCCATAACTATTTTAAAACTAATAGAATTATGAACATTGGCCCCAAAGTGCTCCCCCATTGACACCTTATTTCCCTCAACAAGGTTAGGTTTTGATTCTTCTCTAGTAGGTTCATTCACATACTAAATAACAAAATGTACTTCTATACACTTCTATTAGGTCGCCCTCAGCCTCCGATGCTCTAGTGAAAGCAATCTAAGTTTGTCTAACCTCCGTTTATAGCCAATACACTCCAATCCAGGCAACATCCTGATAACCTCTTCTGCACTCTGTCCAAAGCTTCCACATCCTTCCTACAGCAACTTAAACTACACACAGTACTCCAAATGTGGCCTAACTAAAGTTTTATAGAGCTGCAACATGACTTGCCAACTTTTACACTCAGTGCCCTGACCAATGAAGGCAAGCATGTCGTATGCCTTCTTTACCACCTTATCCACTTGTGCTGCCACTTTCAGGGAGCTATAGACAAGATCCCTCAGTATATCTATACTCCCACAGGTTCTGCTATTTATCTTATTCTTTCGTCTTGCATTTGATCTTCCAAAATGCATCACCTCACAGTTGGCCATATTTAACTCTATGTGCCATTTCTTTGCCCAACTTTTCAACACATCTATGTCCTGATGTATCGTATAAAACCTTCCTCACATTCCATATTTCCACCAATTTTTGTGTCATCTGCAAACTTACTGATCAGACCACCTACATTTTCATCCAAATCATTTATATATGTTACGAACAACAAAGGCCCCAATACTGTCCCTTCTGGAATACCACTAGTCTCAGACCTCCAGTCAGGAAAGAAACAGCCTTCTGCAACTACCCTCTGCTTCCTATGACCAAGCCAATCTTGTATCCAACTTTCCAACCCACTATGGATTCCATATGAATTAATCTTCAGGACCACCCTACCGTGATGGACCTTGTCAAATTCTTCAGTAAAGTCCATGTAGACAACATCATTTGCCCTATCCTTATCAATCATCTTCAACACTTCCTCAAAAAAGTCAATCAAACTTGTGAATCAAGACCTCCTACACATAAAACCATCTATCTGACAATCCCTGATAGGGCCCAGCATGATGTTCTTGTCCCAGAATGGCAGTCTCGTCCCAGCTGCGTCTTCAGGGGATTTTATTGTTCCTCAATGAATTGCTAAGCCCAGAAGTGGTTAACTGATCTGTCATGAACTTTTCTTAATTTGAATTTTTTCTTATTATTATGTATGACTCCTGTCATTGATGTAGACACTGTGTTGGTGAGACTTATAAAACTTTTCATTGTATAATTCATATAAATATACACATGACAATAAATTTTTATTCTATTCTGTTTCCTCGTCTTCTTTTGCTCCTGCAAGGTTTAATCATTTTGAAATGCTATTAGTGCCATCTACAGTGACTGACTTCCACAGTAAACAAAAAGGAAAATAATACTTATAGCCTACCAAGCAAGGTTACACTGTAGGAGCTGACTTGTCCAGGATTACCATCAGCGGCGAACACAGCAATATTTTCCATTTGTTCCTCTTAATATACTTAGTACATCTTGAAAATTTCGGTTGACGCTTTGTTACTAATTGTCGTTTGTAGCTTGTAATCTTGGGGATCAAGCAGTTAATTGGCTCATCCCTTTCATATTTTACAGCCTGGAAGATGCAAATTGAAAAAGTTTACTTCTAAAGGTGCTCCGTGCAGTTCTCAAATTGCAAACCAGGTTGAGTACAAACAGATCATGCAGATGTTGCCCAGATCAATCACTGGCAGGTATTGGGATGATAACTACAAATCCCCGTATTTTGTTTACAAGGTAAGATTATCAGACAAAACACAACGGAGACTATGCACTGTAACGTTCTTTGTTGAGTGAGAACACAGCAGTGTTTCATGATTCAGTAACAAAATCAGAAATTGCTTGGAAAACTGAGCAGGAAGATTCTTTCCAATAAGGGTCACTGGAACCAAAACGTTAACTCTGCTTTCTCTCCACAGATGCTGCTAGACCTGCTGAGTTTTCCCAGCAAATTCTGATTTTATTTCTGATGTCCAGCACCCACAGTTCTTTGGTTTTTTGTTTCATAATTCAGTATTTGCTGTGCACAGAGTTTAGAAAATTTCAGAATACCCAATTTGTGCAGTTGAAAATGTGTGCAATTAGAGAATTGACAAGAAATTGGGAGCCAGCAGTAAAACTACCGCATTTTGTGAAATATTTTACATAAGCTACAGGTGAGTACTTTGAGTACAATACTTTTAGAGCCTGAACGCAACTTTCCATGTCCTTTCCCACCTCCACACCTCAGCCCATCATCACATGAGCTGCTTTCAGCACAGCCAACCCATTTTCTCTTCTTGATGGTCCCCATTATCAGCTTCACTTTCTCTCCAGCTTACTACTTCCAACCCTTTGTCTGATTATCTGTTCTTCTCTACCTCTAGGTGTCTATCTCCACCTATCCATTTACTCCTTTTCCACCCCCTCCACTCTCCACTTCCTGTCTTCAGCATATATATCCATAGCACCTTTTCCTAGCTACTATCTGTTCTGAAGACTGCTGAGTTTCTCCAGAAATTTGATTTTGTTTTGAACAATCTAGCTTCTTATATTTTTGTTTGTCATATCACCTGAACTTATCATTTTAATAGAATTACAAGTTAAATGTATTTTAAAAACTGAAGCAGCTGATATTTAACATTGAGTCTGGATGTGTGCATTGGTCCAAGCTTTGTTCCTGTGTAACATAAAAACATAGATTATAGGATCAGCAGTAGGCCATTTGGCCCTTCGAACCTGACTGACCATCCAACTCAGCCCCTTATTCTGACTTTCTCCCCATGTCCTTTGATCTGTTTAGCCTTAGAATTTTATCTAACTCTTGTTGGTTCTTCTGGCAGGATAAAGATGTTTACCATGAGGTCTGGTATGATGACCCAGAGAGCCTTTCACTGAAGTCATCTATTGTGAAGAAATTAAAACTTGGTGGTGTCGGGGCCTGGTTTGGAAATAGCCTAAACTACAGTGAGAATCCGACAGCAGCAATGCAAACTGAAGACATGTGGAAAGCTCTCTGCCCGATCAGATTGAAATGGAGAACTTGAACCATTAATCTTCAGATAATGTGTATCTTTCATTTTACAAGTGAATGTAGCAAAACGTGAGCTAGCTTCCAACATTAAGAAATGAAATAAAACAATCTAGATGTAGGGAACATAATTTCACATCTAACATAAGAAGTTTTTAATTTAGAAAAGGTATCATGTGCCGGCACAGACTTGGGCAAAGGACCTATTCCTATGCTGTACTGTTCTTTGTAATCATTGAATCTTCTGTGGGATGCAAACGTACTAGTGTGTTTTGTATAACAAGGTCTGATTATGTTGGACACCTGCTTAACGTGTTTATAAATGCACCAAATCTGTCTCAGTTATCATGCCACTTTATTGCAGTGAAGATTAGAGATTCGTACAATGTAGGTGTCATGTTGGTACTTCAATTATGACTCTTCTTCAGTCAAGAGGCCCTTCTTCAGATGATGCCAGACCTACTGAGTTTCTCCAGCAATTTCTGTTTTGGTTTGGCAATTATGCTGTTCATTTTATCTGCACCTTAATTCCTAGCGGTGATTCTTCTAAATTTTGATCTGCTTCAGATTATTGTTTTGAACTCAGATCTTTTTGTTTTCTGCTTCCATGAGTACGAGATGTGAACAGACCATAAACAATGTATTTTCACTGTTTGCTATTTTAAGTACAATAAAATATATCACTAATTATGATTATTTACCATTTGTTCCTCATGATGGGTTTCCAGCTATCTGTTTCTGGAAAGCAATGTGAATTTTTGCACAAATATAATCATAGAGTCATACAGCATGGAAACAGACCCTTCAGTCCAATTCATTCATGCCAACCAGACGTCTTCATCTGACCTAGTCCCATTTGCCAGCATTTGGCCCTTACACCTCTACTTTTCATATCCCCATCCAGATGCCTTTTAGATATTGTAATTGTCCCAGCCTCCACCACTTCCTCTGGCAGCTCGTTCCATACACGCACCACCCTTTGCATGGAAAAGTAAACCCTCAGGTGCTGTTTAAATTTTTCCCCTCCCAGCTTATAACTATGCCCTCTCGTTTTGGACTTTCCCAACTCAGAAAATTTACCCTAGCCATGTTTCTCATGATTTTATAAACCTCTATAAGGTCATCCCTCAGTCTCTGAAGCTCCAGGGAATGTAGCCACAGTTTATTAAGCTTCTTCCTGTAACTCAAAACCTCCAATCCTGGCAATATCCTTGTAAATCTTTTCTGCGCCCTCTCAAGAGCTGTTGTAATCAGCTGTTGCTTTTAACCGATAAATCAGAGACTTTAAGTTGTGAACCAGTTACTCAATGCTTCCTGCAAGCAAGTGGAGGTCCCTGCAGAAGAGAGAGACTGACAAACAGCAAGTCCTGAGAAATCAAAAGGGATAATCTTCGCAAACCCTGTGGAGCACTGACTTCCCAATTTGTCTGTCATGTCTGTCTTCATTTGCATGTAGGGAAGAGTTTTATAAGGGGGAGGGGGTTACATTTTTAACCAGTAGGAGTTAGAAGTTGCCAGTTCATAGATTCTAACGTAAGAACATGAGAAATAGGAGCAGGAGTAGGCTATCTGGCCCATTCAATAGGATCATGGCTGGTCTTTTTGTGGACTCAGCTCCACTTACATGCCCACTCACCATAACTCTTAATTCCTTTACTATTCAAAAATCTATCCATCTTTGCCTTAAAAACATTCAGCGAGGTAGCTTCAGCTGCTTCACTGGGCTGGGAACTCCACAGATTCATAACCTTTTGGTGAAGGAGTTCCTCCTCAACTTAATCCTAAGTCGGCTCCCCCTTATTTTGAGGCTATGCCCCCTAGTTCTAGTTTCACCTGCTTCTATCCTATCTATCCTCTTCATAATTTTATACGTTTCCAAAAGATCCCCCCTCATTCTTCTAAATTCCAGTGAGCACAGTCCTAGTCTACTGAATCTCTCCTCATAAGGCTATCTTCTCAATTCTGGAATCAACCTTGTGAACCTCCTCTGCACCCCCTCCAGTGTCAGTACATCAAGTAAGGAGACCAAAACTGTACTCCAGGTATGGCCTCACCAGCACCCTAGACATCTGCAGCACAAACTCCCTACTTTTAAACTCCATCCCTCTAGTAATGAAGGACAATATTCCATTTGCCTTCTTAATTACCTGCTGCACCTGCAATCCAACGTTTTGTCATTCCTGCATAAGGACACCTGGATCCCTCTGCACAGCAGCATTCTGCAATTTTTCACCATTTAAATAATAGTCCATTTTATTGTTATTCCTACCAAAATGGATGACATTACGTTTACCAACATTGTATTCCATCTGCCAGTCGAGGTAAACAACTAGTTATGTATAATAAACTGTATATTAAAAACAATAAACTATTGCTTTCAAAGTGAATTGCTTGAAGAATGTTGGAATTCTGGAAATAGTTTTTTTTATTCATTCAAGATGTGTAGGTGTCATTTCCAAGGGCAGTATTTCTTAGCCATCCCTAACTACCCTGGAGAAGGTAGTGGGAGTTGCTGTCTTGAACAAGTGCAGTCCTGTACACATGCTTACAATGCCATCAAGAAAGGAATTCTAGAATTCCCTGGACATCCATGAATTCAGTGCCACTAAAGGAACAGCAATAAATTTCCAAGTCAGGATGGTGAGTGATTTGACAAATTTCCTAAACAGTGGAGTTTCATTTGCAAACATCCAATGTTCAAGACACCTTCAACGCATTGGAGGTTGCATGTTCCTTTCAGTCCCACGTTATGAATGGAATCTTATACTACTCTGAAGGAAATGGTTTGATCTTGATGATTTAATTTAATATTATCACATGTAATGAGCTACAGTGAAAATATTATTTTGTGTGCAAACCAGACAAATCATACCTTACGTAAGTACATTAGGGCAATAGAACAGAATGCAGAATATAATGTTACAACTGAATGGGTGAGAAATCTGGGAGAATTAGGTGAGAGATCCAGCAAGGCCTTTGTCAACATTAGGAGCAAGAAATCACATTTTCCGACTGAGTTCTGGGCACTGAAACTAGATTCTCACTAAAATCAAGGGTTTGCAATGAGTGCAGTAAAGACTTTTTATTCAATTCATGGAATTGTGGACGGTACTGGCTAGGCCTATGTTTATTATCCATCCCTAATTGCTTTTGAGAAGGTGGTGGTGAGCCTTACATTAGACAGTCCCTGCATACCTCCTATTGGCCAAGTGAGCCTTCTCTGGACTGCTTTCAAAGACAGACTATCTTTCCTTAGCTAAAGGATCCAAAACTGCTCACAAAATTGCAGTTTATTTTATTCATTAGAGGTAGGTGTTGCAGGACAGACCAACAGCCCATCCCTAATTGCCCAAAGGGTAGTTAAGAGTCAGCCACATTGCTGTGGGTCTGGAATCACTTGTAGGCCAGACCAGATCTTCTGCCTTCCCAACACATTATTGATCCAGATGGGTTTTATAGTCATCACTCCAGGTATTTATTGATTTCAAATTCCACTTTCTACTGTAGCAGGATTGGAACCCAGGTCCTTATAGCATTACCCAAGTCTCCTGATAAATAGTCTAGTGGTACTGTCACTAGACCATCATCTCCCCAGTTTACTGGACTGATTTACTGGGCAGCATGGTAGCTCAGTGCTTATCAGTGCTACCTCACAGTGCCAGGGACCTGGGTTCAATTCCAGCATTGGGCAACTGTGTGCATGGAGTTTGCACATTCTCCCTGTGTCTGCGAAGGTTTCCTCTGGTGCTTCAGTTTCCTCCCAGTCTAAAGATGTGTAGGTTAAGTGGATTAGCCATGGGAAATACATGGTTATAGGGTAGGGAGGTGAGTCTGTGTGGGATGCTCTTTGGAGAGTTGGTGTGGACTTGTTGGACTAAATGGCCTGTTTCCACACTATTCTATGGATTCCTGGGATGGCAGAACTGATGTACAAAGAGAGATTGGACAGATTAGAACTACACTCACTGCTGTTTAGAAGATTGAGTGTGTGGCTGACTTGAGTGGAACTCAGCACAAAAACAAGAATAATGTTTTTCTAGTCTAAACGAAAGTAGTCAAAAGGATAAAAGGAAAGCAAGAGTCCAGAGCCTTTTAAGTTAAAGTGTGTCTGGGGAGCTCAGGCTAATTGTTTACACATGTTGCACTATGTGGGAAATTCTAGATGTGCCTGGCAATGTGTATGGCCACATATACAGGAGGGGCCTCTGGTTGGAGTAATTCAAGATACAGAATTGTGATTACTCAGATCTTGATTGAGAACCAATCCTAGTGTGTTATCATCCAAATGAGGAAGTGGAGACCATGTCAAATACAAGCTGGTAATGGATGGACAGCATTCCAGCTGGTGGTAGCTCTATCTCAGTACAGCAACAAAATTTAACAAGTTCCTCGCAAAATAGGTTATATAAGCATTAGGAAAACACAGGCCATAATACCAAACATTTAGGCTGGATTACAGAAAGATGCATGGACGTTGAAAGGTGGCCATTTTGCTATTTACACCCAACAGATGAGGTAGTGGGGAATCCCCAAACATGATTTCAACCTACCCCTGTAATTCAGATCCCAGCTTTCAAAGAGCCATTTAACTGGGCTGAAAAAGATTGGCAAACCCCAAGCCTAAAACCAGGGGCTGAACTTCACTAAAGATCAGCTGAGTGTTAATTTCAGAAAATTTCATGGAGGGTTTCTCTTTCTGTGAGCTCTAGTGAGTTTTTTTCAGACAATTCTCGCTATTCCCGCATTGTAGCACTACTCTCACACTATCGTGGGTTCAGTTGAGGAAGACATCCCCATCATTTCTGGAATATTCCTGGATTTGTGCCACCAGTGCCACATTTGAATTCCAGCTATGGGTTGGTTCAATCGCTGCAAGCCAAGAACCACCAGTGATAGAGCGTGGCCACACAATTCTGATAGTCATGGCCAAGAAAGGGAGGTGGGTGCCTAAGATCCCCGATGGGGACCTAGCCAATGGGGTGGTACAGAGGGAGGAGCTTCCTCTTTCCTCTGGAC